CCCCAAAACCCCAAAACCCCAAAACCCCAAAACCCCAATTAAATGCAATTTAAATAAATTCCTATAATATTTTTCAAAGCTCATGGCTAAGGGAAAAGGTAAGAAGGGCAAGAAGGCTCCCAAGAAAGACGAGGAGCCAGATGAGTCTACTGAGAAGTTGTTCAAACTTTACAAAAAGAAATGCACTGAGCTCCAATGCAGCACTTCCAAAGCTTTGATGGCTAAATTCTTGGATGATGATGTTGAAGACATTGATAAAATTCATATTTGGGATGAAATCGGATGGCAAGGAGTTAAAGCTCTTATGGAATCTTTAAAGTCAGTGGATTACCAACACTGTATCTCACTCAGGCTTTGGAAAACAGGCTGTGAAGATGAAGGAGTGAGAGCCATAGTGGACTGGTTAGCCACTAACAGCACAGTCAGAATGCTTGAACTGTTAGAAAATAAAATCACCCCTCTTGGTTGCGATTTCATCAGTAGAGTGTTAGCTCCAGAATGCAACTCTGCTCTAACCATTCTTAAACTAGATCACAACGATATTGGATCTGAAGGAATAATGAATCTATCTAAAGGATTGACTATGAACAAAACATTAGAAGAACTTAGCTTAACATACTGTAACATCGAAGCTGATGGAGCCAGAGCAATTTTTGATTTCCTTATTTACACTAAGAGTGGTCTCAAAAAGTTAAATCTCACTGGTAATCATCTTAGGAATGAAGGGATCAGGAAAGTTCTGAGAGGAGTCTCATGTGCCAAAGTTCTAGAAGAGTTTCACATTGCTGATAATCAGTTTGATGATAAAGACGAGATTTTGCAAGCATTCAGCTTCTGTATGACCAGGAATAAGACTTTGACCCACTATGACTTGAGATTCAATGCAATTCAAGACGATGGTATCAAGCATCTGACTGAAGTCCTTCTTGAGGCAACCCATGTATGGAACGTTGAGGTAGGAGAAAAGGTAACTCAAGACATTCTCAAGGAGTTCAAGGAGAGATGAAAGGAAAATAAGGGCAAAAAGAGCAAGAAGAAGAAGGGCAAAAAGAAGGGAAAGAAGAAAAAGAAATAGGCTAATAGTTCTATTTCATTCAATTCAGAATACTGTCAGGGGTTTTGGGGTTTTGGGGTTTTGGGGTTTTGGGGTTTTGGGG